GAGTCCTTTGTAGATCCTAGTTATCAAGCTTTTGTCTGACTCATAATATGCAAATACCTTTTTCTATTCTGAAGGTTGTCTATTTGCTCTGGTTGTTGTCTCCTTAGCTGTACAGAAATTATTCAGTTTAATTAAGTCCTATTTGTTTACTTTTATTGTTACAATTACCATGGAAGGCTTCTTCATAAAATCTTTCTCTGGGATGATATCTTCAAGTGTTTTCCCCATACTGTCTTTAAAGATTTTTATTGTTTCATGCCTTAGATTTAAATCTTTTTTTTTTTTTTTTTGAGACAGAGTCTCATTTTGTCACCTTCTGTAGAGAACTATGGTGTCACAGCTCACAGCAACCTCAAACTCTTGGGGTCAAGTGATCCCCCTACCTCAGCCTCCCAAGAGCCTAGGACTGCAGGTGCCTGCCACAACACCCAGCCATTTTTAGAGCCAGGGTCTCACTCTGGCTCAGGCTGGTCTCAAACTCATGAGCTTAGGCAATCCACCTGCCTCAGCCTCCGAGAGTGCGATCCATCTTGAATCAATTTTTGTCAGTGGTGAAAGATGCAGGTCCAGTTTCCGTCTTTTACATGTGGCTATCCAGTTCTCCGGACACAATTTATTGAATAGGGATTCTTTTCCCCAGTGTGTATTCTAGTTTGGTTTATCAGAGATCAGGTGGCTATAAGAGGTTAGTTTTATCTCATGGTTTTCTATTTGGTTCCAAATGTTAATGTCGCTAGTTTTGTGTCAATACCATGCTGTTTTGATCACTATGGCTTTGTAGTATAGCCTAAAGTCTGGTAGGCTGACCCCCCCCACACTTTGTTTTTATTACTAAGAATTTGGGGGCAAATCTTTTATTGTTATGCAAGGAATCTTCTTGGATGAAGCCATTTGCTAATGAAAATATAACTTGATTTACACTGATGTAAAATATCAAATTGCTAATCAATAGATTGGGCTACTTAGTGTTCTGGTTGAAACTGCAGAATTGTTCCATGGAGGGAAAGGTACAGCTCTCTACATTTTTTAATATGTGAGATTAGCTATTTCCAAGATGGACCAGAGATAAGTTTGAGTCTGAGGGTAGAGGGGTATGGTGAAAAGTAGCTCAGGATAGGATTGCCACCTGACCAAAGAATACACAATTCATGCTTCATTTATGGAAATGAAATTGAGCTGAACTCGACTGTGTACTATTGAGCTTGTACATTCCATCCCTGCTTTTCAGATCCAATAATCTAGAGACCACAGTATGGCTTATCCACAGGAGCTGTATCCTTCTTAATTGCCAGCAGTGATATGAAAAAATATTCTTCTATAGATCGTGCAGGCATTGGTGTTTTAGGATCCAAATGTTCAGAGCTAGAATGAAACTTAAGGGAAATCATCTCAGCAAACAGATTCCATCTTTACAGTTAATTCCTGGGACTTCATACAGCTGTCTGGAGCACTCTGATGACAAGGATGTGGTGTCATGCCCCAGCTCATCAGAAAAGAACGCTGCAATTGATTACTGATGTCTGCACCTATTCTGTGGGTACTGAAGAATTTATGAAGTTCTCATTTTATACTATAGATTTAACAAATGAAGTCTTACAGAGACAAAGTCCAATGGAAAATTCAATTCTGGCTTCATTTTACCATATTTGTTCCATTATAGTAACAAAAAGTGACTAGAATAATCCATTCTCAACAATTCTGAAATCCAAAAGGCTCTGAAAAATATATAATTACCCATACTCAGGAGAAAACCTAATTTGAACTAACATGAGGCTATTTATGTTATTTATAACATTTAATTAGAGTGTTGCCCCAAACCTTGGTGGGATATTATAGATTATATAGTACATGCACAGCATTTCTTTCATAAAATCTGAAAAAAATCTGAAACACATCTGCGCCCAGATATTTCAGATGAGGCGTGGTGGGCCTGCACTGCCTAAGGATGGGCATAATGTGCCTCAAAGACACCCATACACTAATCCTAGAACTTACAGCAAAAGGAACTTTGCAGATGTTACTTACAAACTATGAAACTTCAACTTGAGAGATCATCCTGTGGGCCCAATCTAATCACATGAGCCCACAGAACTTTCTCCAGCTGGAGTCAGAGAGATTTGAACCAAGAAAAGGTCTCAGTGTGCCTCTGGGGTCATGTGCCTACATGGAAAGCATGAGAAGGAATGTGGGCAGCCTCCAGGAACAAAGACTGCCCCTGGTTGATGGGGGGCCACCAGTTAGCTTATTTGACCAACAATCTCAATACCCATGGAAGCATTTTCTTCTCCAGGACTCCAGAGTAGAGTCCACTGTGGCTCACACCTTGATTTCAACCTTACAAGATCCTAAATGGAAGACCCAACCATGCTTAGTGTCAGACTATGTTAAGCAGTGAAGTTTATGGTAATATGGCACAGCAGCAATAATAAAAAGAGATACACCAGAAAAGCCTGATTCTTCTTCCACAATGTGGCCTCTGGCTCCTACAATGTCCCCTTTCTTCTCACTATACACCCTTTGCCCATCACCCTGCTCCTTGGGTAGAACCGCCAGTCCTGGCTTTGAACAAAAGAGACTTATTCTCTGTTAGTTCTGGAGGCCGGAAGTCAGAAATCAGGTGTTGGCAGGACTGTGCTCCCTCTCAAGGCTCCAGCGGGGAACACTTCCTGGCTTCTTCCAGCTTCTGGAGGCTCTTGTCTTGGGCAGCCTCTCTTTCTTCACTTGCCCTTCCTCCTTCTCTCCCTTACCTTTTCTCTATAAGGACACTTGTCATTGAATTTAGGGTCTACCAAAAATCCAGAGTGATCCCATCTTGAACTCCTCAATTGATATCTTCAAAGACCTATTTCCAAACAAGCTCACATTCTGAGGTTCTAAGTGGATGAGAATTCTGGAGGGACACCATTCAGCCCGCTATAATAGCACAAACAGAGCTCAGAGTAAAAATACATGTCCAGTGCTAAGTCGCCTATATAAGAGATAGAGGATGACCTGCTATTTAACTGTTCACACTAGCTGTGAAGAGCACCAGCTCCCTGCCTATGCTGCCGTCACAGAGTAGACTTCAGCAAACATCGCAGGGAACAAGGACAGATAAAAAGCAGCACCATAAAAACACTTCATCCCTTTATTTCCATATTCCCTGTGCCTAAGTGTTTCCCTCTCTCCCCATCTCTGTTCACACAAGCAGATACCTAAGGAATGGAATAGAGCCACTCTCCCTAAAATATCTATGAGATGCTTAAAGAATAACAACCATGGTATCTATTTTAATTTTTATTTTAATCTTCCGACGTACTTTTGAAAAAAAATTTTTTTTCTTAGAGAAGTATTATAATTCAACCACAAAGATGAACATGGATACTTAATACTCTTGAAGGACGTTTGCTGTAGTTGCTGTTCTCGATTTTAGGGGTGTTGGGAAGGCAACTGCGTGGAGGAAGATGGGTGCTTAGCATGACGAGTACACAGCCGGCTTGGGGAAGCTTGGGTGCCTCATTAGGGATCTAGGCAGAGTACTCAGGGCTGACCTTGAGATGTAAACCAAATTTTAGAATTTTATACACCTAAGTATTTTGAGTTGTAGCCCTTTATAAAGCCTCTTCACATGCCTCATATTAATGAGGCCAGTAAGTGTAAGAGTGAATAGTTAAGGAATGACCTTGAGGTCCCCACAGAAATGGATTTTTTTTTTTTTTTGAGACAGAGTCTCACTATGTCACCCTCTGTAAAGTACCGTTGCATCACAGTTCACAGCAACCTCAAACTCTTGGGCTTAAGCAATTCTCTTGACTCAGCCTCCCAAGTAGCTAGGACTACAGGCACCTGCCACAATGCCCAGTTACTTTTTTTGTTGTTGCAGCTGTTGTTTAGCAGGCCCAGGCCAGGTTTGAACCCATCAGCCTCGGTGTATGTGGCTAGCACTGTAGTTACTGTGCTACGGGTGCCAAGTCCAGAAATGGATTTGTACAAGACCTTGAGCGGGCTGTTTAACCAACCACACCTAGCCTCAGCTTCCTCATCTGTAAAATGGACATACACAAAGTCTCTGACTCATAATGTTGTTGTGAGGATTACGCAGACACTGAGCTGTGTGTCATGCCACATAACAACCCCTGACCCGTGTTAGCTAATAGATTCCAACTAGACTGATAGAGGAGGAAGAAGATCTGCACATCTCCACTTGACAGCCTCAGAGAGGTCTTGAGCAAACACAACTGTGTTGCAGGAGGTAGGATGCAAACACAAGTCAAACAAGGGCCAATACCTGGCTAATTCTGTGTAATTAAATTTCTGGTGGAATAAGGCCCTTTATAATGCAGTTTTATTGTTCTTCCAGACTATAAACCAAGCAGAAAATTGTGTTTCAGCTTTTTAAACCTCCTGAACCACAGGAGAATTCATATCAGTTCTGCGTTCAAACTTCTGTTGTGTTGGGAAAATAACTGTCCCCACAATTGTGGGCAGAATCTACAAAGCTAGGGGGGTGGGGGGCAGTGATGTTTAGAGTGTGCAGCAAAGGGAGAAGACTCCTAGGATGCCATCTAGATCACGAGCCAGCCCCTGCCTGCCTCTGAAAGCCGAGTTTGATTGGAAGGCAGCTGTGTTCGTTCATTTCTTTGTGTGTGGCAGAGACAGCAAGGCCCACTGAGCCTGAACTCACTACTAACTGGCCCTTTACAGAAAAAGTTTACCAACCCCTGTTATAATAGAAAGTATTTAACAGGGACAGGCGAGGAACCTGAAAATATCTTAAAATGCCAAATATTATTCCTAGAGTTCTCATTAGTACCATCAGCCCCATGAAAAAAGAGAGTTTTCTCTTTTTCATGAATTAGGAGATCAAAATCCCTCCAGAGAGAAATGAGCAGTAGGGCCTTACACCTGGGTGGTATGTGGAGAGCCAGTTTAAGGTCCTGGCACTTGGGCACATCCATCTCCATGGCCCCGGATATCTTCATCTGCCCGAGTTGTGAAATTTTGCACATTTATAGACTCACCTGGGTTTTCTCTTCTTCCGCTGGAATTGATCCCAGTCCCTCCTTCTCTGCTGCCTTCCTGCAGGTGTTCTGAGTCCCCTGGTCATTTGCCTGCAGATCCAGGCACCGTGATTTTGTTTTTAAGCTATTGGTGAATTCTTCAGACTGGGTTTTTCTGTAGAGAAACAAAAAAGAAATCGTCACAACTATTCCTCAACTAGGACAGCTTTTCCAAAGCAGACGTCTCCATGGAAAACGATAACACATAATTTACGAAGGGGCTTATAATAGGCTGGGCCCTTTGCTAGGTACTTTAATGACAATACCTCAATCCTCATAATCACCCTATGAGAAAAACACTGTTATCCCCATTTTGTTATAGGAGGCTCAAAGAAATGTTATAATTTCTCCAAGAGTATGTTGTGGCACAGCCAAAATTTCAATCCAGGGCTGCCCTGTAAGCTGAGCTGCTAGAGCACCCTGCCTCCTTCTGATCAGTCACCAAATAATCCCTTCATCATCATCTGTCCATATGCAGGTTTCTTTCTTCTTCTTCTTTTTTTTTTTTATTATTGTTTCAGGTTAATTTGAGGGAACAAAGAATTAGGTTACCATGTTCACATTTGTTAGGTAGAGTCCCTCTTATAATTGTGTCCTGCCCCCAAGAGGTGTGCCATACACCCCAACATTGTGCCCATTACATGGGAGCACACCCAGCCCCATTCTTCCTCCTCCCTCCCTGCTCCCTCATTCCCTTGCCCCCCACCTTGAATTGAATTGTGTTTTTCTCTTGTGTGGGTGTGTATTAGATTATCTACTGGCTTCATATTAGTATTGAGTACATTGGATACTTGCTTTTCCATTCTTGTGATACTTTACTAAGAATGTGTTTCAATTCCACCCAGATTAATACAAAAGATGTAAAGTCTCCATCTTTTTTAATGGCTGAATAATATTCCATGGCATACATATGCCTCAGCTTGTTAATCCATTCCTGGGTTGGTGAGCATTTAGGTTGTTTCCATATATATAGTTTGAAAGTTATAGGTGTGTGTGGGTGGCATCCCCAGCCCTTGGCAGTGCATGGAGCCATCACCAGCTGCTCCCATCACCAGCCCTGGGGAACTGAACCCAGGTCCTAACATCTACCCCAATTTGCATTCACCAGTTCAGAGTAAGACTGTCAACACCACTACCCAGAGCCAGAGGAAGACCCCAAGACACAGTAAGCATTGCAGAGGTCACCCCAGGCACCACTCAGCAGAGGGATGCCATCACCTGCCTTAGTCTCCCTTTTAGTCACTATCCTACATCACCACTTAGTTATGTCACTTCCCTATTCAAAAACCTCCTCACCGCCCACAGAATAAGGTGTGAACTCCTAAATCTGGCCTTCGAAGCACTTTAGAACATGGCCCCTGTCTTCACCAATTGCCCAAGTTACCCCAAACACTCACAAGGTCCCATCATTCCCCGAGAACAATTAGTAATCAAGGCTAGAGGTCTGGATCATGCCCTCTGCCTGCACTTTTCCTCCTGACCTTCTGTAACTGGGAAACAACTTATCTATCTTTCAAGGCTCAGTTCAGATTTCACCTGTTCTGTGGATCAGAAGGATAGACTCCTCCCTGTGCTTGGTTAACTCCGTGTTTATCCTTCAGTGACAGCACAAATCACAGCCCACACTGGCTGCAGCTGGCTGTGTGTCTGCCTGTGGCTCCTCCTAGACTGGCAGCTCCCTGTTCACCTCTGGATTCCCACTGCCTCTAGGTTCCGTGCATGCACCTGCATCTGTCTAAGCAATTGTCTCTCAGAAGGTCTGCAGCTCGGGCAGTCATTGCATTCATTGATCATATATATTTCTGACACTCAGCTGGGTCAGCCTGACTTGCTCAATCATGATGCTAGTAAAACCAGCGATGATCCATGGGGAATGTGCAAACTCGTATTAAATCTGATCCCAAATCAAAACTAGAAGGACAGCTGATCTCATAGCACTGATGGAATGAAGATCTTTAGACCAAAAGTCCAAAGAAACTTTCCAGAGAGATGGAAATGATTTTCCTGACCCTCAAAGCCCACCCTACTCTTGCACCAGACACAGTGAGCGAGAAGCATCTCTGCAGTGTTTTCTAAAGTCTGGAGAGTCTTTACAGTCTCTGATTGGTCTGTGATCTCCTACCTGAGCTCTTCTGCCTCCTGCTCCGTTTTCAGCCGTGCACGCTCGGCAACAATTTCATCACAGAGCACGTCGTAGGGTTTATCCAGATGATGTTCACCCATCACCCAGACCCAGACTTCCTTATCGGCTCCCAGTTTCCAATGGACAGATTTGCCATTCTCTGCAAAGAAACAAAAAAGGAATTGAGACATGAACAGGTATCTCTAGTCACAGATTAGGACATTCCCCATCACTCAAGTATTTAGTGTCTTTGGAGATAAAAAGACAATATTAGATGAGGCTGAGTACCTCCAACCAGCTCAGGAACAAGAGGACCACAGGAAGTATGCAGTGGTGGCAGCTGCAGGAGGATTTGTTTAAAAAATATTATGGGTATGGTCTTTGCACATGCCTATTTTGTAAATGAAGAAATTAAGATGAGAAGGAAGCGTCCATTGTTTGTATTATTCTTTACGGTAACAGGGCTAGCATGCAACTTCATAAGCTCCTCAATTGAAGAATCTCCCTGTAACCCAGAGCCACACAGCTACTTGAGGGTGTGTGTGTGGGGGGGTTCCCCCACCTCCACAGGCTTCACGGATGGCTAAAAAGCATCATGCAATTTAGAATTAGACCGGCTCAAGTTCAAATCCTAGCCCTGCCACTTACCAGCTACGTGACTTGGAAAATTATGTAATCGCTTTAAGACTTGGTTTGCTCATCTGCAAATTGGAAATACTAAATCCTCTACGCAGGACTGCTGTGCGGAGTAGGCAGGCTATGCCGAGTGCTTCCCCGGCGCCTGCCACATAACAGGAGGTCAACAGAGGCTAACTGCTGGCATAGATGCCCTATTATTTACTTATATGGCTGCCTCAGATTCGCACCAGCTTGTGAGAAGATAATACCACCAGGTAGTGTGATACTTGGTGAAGCCACTTAAATAACCCTTGTTTACAATTGCTCTCCAGGTCGGATTACACTCCAGTGCTCCTGAGATGCGAGCACACAGGTCATGCTCTCTGAAACCCAGGGCAGATGCAGGACACCCAGAAGAGGCCAAGAGGGACGTTCCATGATAGTCAGACCTACTCAGGGCCACCATGGTCCAAAGTCACCTGAGTAGGGAGTGTGCCAGGCCATGCTTTGAGAGTGAGACAGCCACACAGAGCGTCTCTTGTCTTCTTACGCTAAGTAGAAGATGGATTCCAATTACATGGTCTTCCGTCCAATGCACTGTTGACCTTGTTCACACTGTGCCCTCTGGACACGTGACAAAAGCGGCTGCTCAAAGCCAGGCTCCTGCTTCTGTTCCTCTCAGAGCAATGGACACTTCTGCAGTGTAGTAAAGTTCTGGGTGGGGACCCTGGGGTGTGGGGAAGACAACAGTCCCATGGTCTACACTGAGAAGGAGCCAGCAAAGAAACAGCAAGAACAGCCCCCTGGTAAGGAGAGGAGGCTGGAGGCCAGCGTGCCAAGTGGCTGGGCCCCAGGGCAGCCTTGGTGCGCCCTCGCTCTGCTCCAGGCCATGCCAAATGGTTCATTAACTTCAGAAAGCTGTCATACCCCATAAAACTCTCTTCATTACATCCCCTCAAGGCAATAATAATATTTTTAGTATGTCCATCTCTCAGCCTTCACCTGAGTTCTCACTGACAGTATTTTTTTTGACAGCAGGAGGAAGCCACGCAGAGAGGAGAGTGGCCAAGGGGGAGAGACCTCAGTGGCCCAGCGGGGGCAGCCCAGGGCACAGTCCCCAGGGAGCACCACAAGCTCTGGGAGGCACAGGGAGAAGAAATCCAGGGAGCATTTGTGAACAGAGCACAGGGCTTAGAAAGTAGAAGGAGGGAAGAGAGCAAAGGAGAAGACCTGAGGTCTGGGAAGGAGGAAAGGAGGGGAGAAGTGAAAGCCTGGCTCTTGCGCAGGAGGAGAGAGAGAGAGCCACAAGTCAGATTCAGCCAGATACTCAGGAATGGGCTCTTGGAGACCAGCACTGACCGTAACCTTTGTCCTGACTACGCCTGACCTCCGAGAGCCCTTCCCTGGGGTTCAGAAAGCAACGATACTGGGGCAGCTTCCAGTGGCTCCACACGACTCCCTGACATTGGGGAGGGTAGGGAAGCTGGTCTAGCGTAGGTGGTGTGAGCTCTGACACCCTCAGCTTCACACTCAGATGGGGCAGTGACCATCATGCCCCTCACTGTGGTTTAACTGATATGGTGGCAACTGGGTTTCTCCTGTGAACAAGATGTGGAGCCAGATGCTGCAGGTGGCACCAGGGTGAAAGAGATGGTGATACTTCTCTCTCAAGTAACCTAGAGTCTCTGAGAGAAAGAGCAAGGCTTAGTTATGTCCATATCTACTGTGCGCAAGACAAGACAACTCAGTTCCTGACTTCAGGGAACTGACAATCTGGTTGTAGGAGGCAGAGAATGAACACTTAATTAATTACAAAATAAGGCTTGGAAATGGAGGAGGTGGGTGGTGGTAAAGGATGCTATGTGAGTGCTTAAGAAGAAGAAATAACCTCCTTTGGCCTCTAGGGGCGGGCCGGGGGGAGGAGACATACATTATAATCACAGTGGATTTTCCATTAAGTCCAGTGGGGAGTCAGAGGCTGGAGAAATTGCTTTAGAAAGATGGAGAAAACAACTTTTTAAAAGTTGGTTGTGTTGGGGTGGCTCCTGTGGCTCAAAAGTGTAGAGTGCTAGTTCCATATGCTGGAGGTGGTGGGTTCAAACCCAGCCCTGGCCAAAAAATAAAAAAAAAGTTGGTTGTGTTGAGTATTAAAGGATGGGTCTGGGATTGAGACAGAGAGTGGGGATGGGTTTGATGCTGGACACAAAGAACAGTGTGACCAAAGACCGAGAAGGGGACCAACATGGGGTTCTGGGGAACAGGGCTTCAGGGTCTCGGCCAGAGCCCAGCTCTGCACTGGAAGCCAACCAGACCTGCCTGGCAGGGACCAGAGTGCCCCATGGCACAGGCCCACATCCCTGGTCAAGAGATTTCAGTGTAAGCCCTGGACTGCTGTTGAGTCAGAAAACTGTATTAAAATCCCACCTGCCATTCAATCCTACAATCCAGAAGACCAAAAATCACATTATAACAAAGATATTTGTACCAGAATGTTTACTGCAGCACAATTTATAGTTGCTAAGTCATGGAAGAAGCCCAAGTGCCCATCGACCCATAATGGATCAATAAATTATGGTATATGTACACCATGGAATATTACACAGCCTTAAAGAAAGATGGAGACTTTACCTCTTTCATGTTTACATGGATGGAGCTGGAACTTATTCTTCTTAGCAAAGTATCTCAAGAATGGAAGAAAAAGTATCCAATGTACTCACTAGTACTGAGTCCTACTATGACACTAATTTATAGGTTTCATATGAAAGCTTTAACCCAATTATAGCCCAAGAATATGGGGAAAGGGGAGAGGGAGAGGAGGGAAGGGTAGAGGATGGGTGGAGGAAGGGTAGTCGGTGGGACCACACCTACGGTGCATCTTCCAAGGGTACATGTGAAACTTACTAAATGTAGAATATAAATGTCTTAACACAATAACTAAGAAAAAGCTATGTTAACCAGTTTTATAAAAATATTTCAAATTGTATATAAAATCAGCACACTCTACCCCATGACTACATTAATGTACACAGTGATGATTTAATGATTAAAAAAAAATCCTAGTTTTCCACTAAGCACATGACCCATGCAGACATCACTTTACATTTCGGACCCAAATTTTCTGTGTAATAAACAGACATGCTAAAGTCCTACCTTACATGACAAATGCTCAGACAGTCCCATGTTTTTTATCCACCTGAGTGGCCAGTGAGGAGCCCAGGGATATCCGGAACAGGTAGTGTAAGGTCAGGAGAGTGATCTGGGAAGCTCCACTGAACAGCCCCAGGTGAGGTGGACCAGGGTGTTGTTAAGTCAAGGGCAAGGATGGGAACAGATTAGGGGTGGAAAGGCCAGGCATGCGGTGACCAGGTCCTACATCGGGCAGCGCTATAGTAAAGGGCAGTGTTTAAAAAGACAGGGAGCTGAATACAAGGGCAGGCTCAAAGATGACATGAAAACTTTGAAACTTACTCACTGGGAAGATAGCAGGGTGATGGGCAGAGACAGTGACAGGAAGAAATAAATGAGTTTGAGGAGTAAGATAAGGAGCTGATTCGGAAATGCAGAATCAATTATTTTCAATTTTGCCAGAACTTCTCCATGGAGATTTTTTTTCACAGACCCCTGGACTATAGGACTAGAGTTCAGAAGTGAGGTTGAGAATGGCAGTGCAGGTTTGGGAATCACTTCACAGATGTCATAGTGACGCCACTGGTGCAGAGAAGCTCACAGACAGAACAAAGCTGAGAAGAGAAGGGAGGGACAGGAGAGACCCGACTGACAACAGATAAATGAAAAGAGAAGATTCTGATGTCCAAGATAACTGAATCAATGGAGAGGGACAGCAGGGAGAATGCACCGGGAATCAGTGACATGAACTGCTACTGAGATGATGGCAAGGACGGTGCAGACCGAGGAAGCCCCCAGGCAGCCTCGGGTTCCAGAGGGAGTCACCTTAGGGAGATGAACAGGGGACAGGTTCCAAAGGTGAAAGGTAACGATGATGAGAACCAGAGCAGATAGTCAGTGTATGCTTGGGAGAAGTTTTATTTGTGAAGAAGAAAAACAGGATTCAGTCATTAGTTCAGATTTTATTGAGCATCTGCTACATTCCTGGCACTGCTCAATGGGCTGAAGTGACAGGCAGAGCAGGTGGAGAGCTCAGGTGGTTGACAGGCGCCTTGTAACAGGGGAAATGTGGCCGGGCCTCACAGCTAGGTTGTTGGAAGGGACACAGTAAGGACTCCAGGATCAAGCCAGGGGAATGAATGACAGACAGGCAGAGGTGCAGAGAACAGGTAAAGAAGAAAGTGTTGACAAAAGATGAGAAACCCCCAGCCTGGAAAGAGAAAAATAGAAAATGGAGAAGCAGAGAACCACATTTCTCCCCCCAGTGGGGCCAACTTAAAGATACAAACTCAAGGAACCCAGTGGGGCACGCACTGTATCCTCTGTCATACAGCCCAGGCATTCCGGATTTTCTGTGAACTTCACCTTGAACTTGTATGCACTCTGTAATCAGAGGACAGCGAGGGCGGGCCCTTT